AGACTGAAAGTTTGTAATTCATGCCAGTCCTATGATAGCAAAATGCGTAGCATAAAAATGCACAATTTGTCATTCACTAGTCAAAGACCTTTTTTCAATAGTATAAATCTTGTGTGATTTCTTATCACTGTAAATAGCTTATCACAGGTATGTACGGCACAAGACTATTGCTTCTATCTGTTTAAGCCTTCTGTGGAAAATATAACAACACTTACATGAGTTGTTCTCCTGTAATAATCTGTGTTGCCCAGATTTCTAGACAATCCAAAGTCTGCTATTTTAATAACAAAGTCTTCAGCAATTAAAACGTTCCTTGCAGCTAGGTCCCTGTGTATACACTACAGAGTAGTTTGAGGGAAATGAACACCAAAAAAATGTTATTAATATTTCCTGGCATTATTAAGCAAAAGGCCGATGTGTTTATGCCTTTAACTGAGTTTTGACAATATTTTTGTGTACTGGTAGTATATAATACTCTGACTAATTTATTGTGGCTGTGTCAAACTAAGATGATTTTCTTTTTTCTTAAAATCCATTTTTTAAATGGATGCCTTAACACATCAGGGAAGAAACAATTTAGTTTACAAAGGTTCTAGGATAGAATAGTTCTATATTAGTTTTAGGTGAATGAGCCTTAGAAGCCTAACAGTTAATCTAAGATATTCTTTCCTTGTTTGGAAGCTAGTAATTGTTGTAATCAACTGTTGTGAATGCTTTCTTCTGTTCAAGTGAAAAAAATAACTACAGAGAATTAAAAAAATAGTTGAAATTACCTTAAAATTAACAAATTGTGTAAGAGTCAACAATCATAGTTACAAGGAGTATCAAAACAATTACATGGATCATTTTTAATGACTAGTTACCTTTTTTGAAGACAGGTAACTCATTCCTCTAGCTATTTGATATGCAATTGATAACAAATCCCTAAGTGTTAACTGAGCTGTAGTCTTTCCATTGATGTCTGTCAGAGAGGGTCGATTATCACGAAGAAAGTCACGCAAGTTTCCATGTGGACAATACTCAACAATGAGATATAGGGGACCTAAAAGAATGAAATCTCAAATTGGCTACGAAATCACACAATCAGGAAACAATAATTGATCACAGTTTTCATTTAATTTTTTATTGGCATACATGTAAAATCTAAAAAGTTAAATTTAGCATTTTCCTTCTTGATTTTATAGCTATTGTTTTTACCACAGCTCTCTCCATTTTCTTAATAACCCTCTACATGTAGCTGTGCAGTCAGGTAGAAATGAAATAATTGTGATGTTTGTGATAATAATTTGATAAAGACACAGGATGCATAATTTGAATCTTATGATTTTAAGACTAGAGATTGTTTCCCAAATTAATTTGATTTAGATTTTTGATTTTCTTCTTTCTTGAACCATGATATATGGACAGTTACCATTACCTTGTACAGTGCAGGCCCCAAGAAAGTTCACTATGTTCTTATGACTTCCTATTTCCTTCATAGTTTCCATTTCAGAGATCAGATCAGACAACTCAGCATCAGTGGCATTTTCTATAGAACAAAAAGTTATACAGTTCAAACAAGTTATATAATTTTACCACAACTTTGTCTAAAGATTATTTTCAAAGCTCATCAGAAATCATCCAGCAGAAGTTTCAATTAGTTTCCTTTTGTTTTCATGGCAAACTTTAAATTTTTTAGTAACAGTGAATTAGTCGTGAAAATTTCAGTAAATCTATAAAGTTTTCTGATAATCCATTACTGAATATTAAAACTAACTACCAACCTTTCAGCATCTTTACAGCAACAGTACAAGGTGTAGAAGTATTTGGCAGTTGAAAAGCTTCTGCCTTTGCGACATAACCAAATGCGCCTTCCCCAGCTAGATCCTTTATAAAAAGCATTTCTCTAGGAACCTCCCATTTTTCATCCAATGGATATTCAAATAAATCTGAAATAGATAACCATCAAAAATTATGGTTGAAATTAGGCTTGAAGTACTTTTCTAGATTAGATTATGAAAATAATAGCAAGTATGGTGGATCTTCTTGTGAGCATGAAGACAACCAGTATGCAGTAACAACATTCATTGCAGTGTAAAGGAATGACCTTAAAGGTTGTTTGGTTAGACCACCTTGGAGTTACTTCTAACTCCACCCCTGTTGCATATGTTTCCACTGCTGAGGCATTATAATGGGTGCCTGATTGTCTACTTGTGGGACTTATGATTTGGTTCAAAGGATGCCACTCATGTGAGGGGTAGATCTTTAGGAATGGTTGTGCTCAGTTAAGGTTCCTGAGCAACCCTGCTGAGGCTCAGCACACCTGAAAAGTCTCAACAAAACCACTTTTAACATAATGGTATTAAAAAAATAGGTATACCATCTGCATATGTTACTACAGTTCCTCCAGATGCTGATGATGATAGCTGCGATCTGTAACTACTGTTTCTCTTGTGTATCAAGGGTAAAAGTGAGTCTCTTTGTGTGGATGCTGTTAGGAGCCCATTTCGAAATTTAACTGATAAGAGAGGTGTACCATCAATCTGTTCTTCTGGTGAGTCAGGTTCGTGGAGGATTATTGGCAATCCTTGATTTTTTGGTTCTTTTTGTCTCCATTTAAAGAAAAAGACAACCACAGCCAATAGAATAACACCTACAAATGCTCCTATGCAACCCACAATGACTTTTATACGCTGGGTTGCCATGCTTTGACTTGTAGACTGTGTTGTAAGAGTCCTGGAATCAACAGTTTTTGGTATGCTAGTAGTATGAACTGCTGGAAACAATGAAATAAAAAATGGTGTTTACTTTATGTTAACAATAAATGATTTTTGTCGTAATAATTTATAAGAATTAAATATGATAAACATCCTCAAAATTTCATTCTCTTATGCCCCTATCAGCAAACACTTTGGCATTCTCATTCTCTGTAAGGATCAACCTCCATTGCTTTTATTAGCAGGATTGAAGGTTTAGGGTTATAACCATTTGCAATCAGAAAAGAACAAAATCCTTGTATTTAACAAAACGTGTACTACATACCATTATAATACCAAAAACAACTCAACCAACCTGGATCCAAAGTTTTGTTAAGACTAAGCAAGGCACTTTGGTAAACTCTTCCATAAAGGTTGCATACAACACAGGAATACAATCCCACATCAGTTTCTGTGACATTGTGAATAGTTAGGTATGAAACATGTAAGTTTTCCTTGGCGCCAGGTTTGATACTGTATTTTGAGTTTGAAACAATGCTTTTGAAATTTCCAAAATCAACATCAAGTTTATCTGCAGATGATGTGTTCTTCCATTTTATCCAGTCAAAGTGGGGGACAGTTGACAAACTGGCTGCATTGTTTGTTTGTAAGCAAGTAAATTTTGCCAGACCATTGACTCTGATGCTGATGTTAAATAGCTCCTCTTGTGAAATGCGTGGTACTAAACGGCTAAATGTACCTATAAGAGAGTATAATTTGATTAGTTGTTAATGGTACTAAAATGAGATGCTCATAGAAGTGGCAGAAGAAAATTGATACCATCGTTGTGTTTTTAGCATTCAAAGACAAGTTCTACTTATCTCCCTTAATGGATTGCTTGTCCATCACAAGGAATGATCAAGACATAATTTCCTATAACATTTTCAGTATGATGTCAAGCAGAAAAGTGATGAGAATAAGGAAAAATATCAACAAGGGGATTATTAGTTGATCCAATATCAAATTCTCCAAAGTGACATCACAAGATTAGTTTGGCAGATCTTGAGAGTGAAAGGGTTAACCTCAAGCCTTTCTTCAGGTTTCCCTGACAGTATGCTGTTGTTACTAATTTAAACTCCTGTGCTAAGAGTGATGTTGCAAGAGTTAAATGTCTTATCAAAGGACACATGACATTAAATCCTGCCAGGGCTCAAATCTGAATTTTTTTATCCAGAGTCTAGCACACAACTCGTTTTGCTTTTCTGTCTCCAACTGCGCTGAGAGAAAATTTCACTGAAAGTTAAATCTTGTGTCTTTTTTTTCACCTTATTTCCTTGAATAAGCATCCACACTCTAATAAGTGGCCTTCCTGAATAAGCCTCCATGCTTTAGCCCATAATGTCACACCCCTCCTTCCTCACTTTCTTAAAGAGTAGGGATACAAGGAAAACCTGTTTCTTTTGCCACCCTATTTATAAAGAGTAGGGATACAAGGAAAACCTGTTTCTTTTGCCACCCTATTTATATCTTTTAAAGCTCCAAAATCAGTGAAATCAATACAAGAGAATAATAAGCACCCCATTTGATTAAGTACCCTCCTTCCAAAAATAGTGTCCCTCATTTAAGCCAAAATTTTTTATTACAGTTTCTTTTTATTTTAATTTAACAATTGGTTCACAGCTGTGGAGAGTTTTGTTTACTTTAGATTGAATGTTGGATATTGTTGGTGAATGTCATTGTTTGTGTTAAATACCATTTGGCAAGCAATATTCTTTGTTTGTTTTGAGGGGCATGCTGAGTCATTCTCCCCTACTGTGGTTAGAATGAATGGATGAATGAGTTAATTAATGAACCTTAATCACTTCAAAACGGAAGCATTTTTTTTAAGTCGCTTCATTATTTTTGTGCTTTTTTTTCCTATTTCAAGTGGTATTTATCAAGAGTCTGTTGTGATGTTGGAAGTGTGGAGGTTGATAACTGTTATCAGTTTATTTTATGACAACACTCAAAAACCTCAAAGCAGTTTTACAAAGTCTGTGGAATCATTGAGACATAAATTATTGAGCAACAAAGCTCAACAAATAAACCGAAAGAAGTGAAAAAGAAGCTATTTTGAGTTGGAAGAATCCAAAAGACATTCAATCTTCCCTTCCCTATGTTTCTAATGCAGTCCAGATTTTCCTTGATGATAACTGGTTTTAATGTACTGGTAGCTCTGATGATCAGAGAAGGTGAAAAAACAAGACAAACGCCTTTTATGTGTCCCACAAAAAGCCACATTAATTTACAACAGAAATATAAAGTCTCTTTTTTTTATGCCCTCAGGTGATTATTCAAAGGAAGTAGACAAAACGGGAATGAAATTAGGCAAACAGGACATTTGAGGTAATTTCTTGTCGCCTATAATATTTCAGTTCGACATTTGCGATTGTCTGTCTTAAAATAAATAACATCGCCGGCTGATTTTTACCATTGAAGTTTTTTACATATTAAACAAACCACCACTGAGCTTCCCAGCGAGATTACAGGTACTCTTTGTTAATGTATGTATAAAGGAAAATGAAATGATGACGCCGATTGACGACATTAAGTCACTGCCTTTAAGAGAAAGCCTCAATTTAGCGGGGCCAACGTTTTGATTATATGGCATTTACGAGTAAAAGCACTTAAGTCTTATTTTTCTAGCTCCATCAAGAAAAAGGTTTAATTTAATGTTTACGAAGACGCCGCTGATACGCTCCTATGCAAATTTAATCCAACCTCATCAAAACCGTGTTTGCTTTAATCTGAACGATGTGAAGGAGATGTCTCAAAAGACGAATTCGGCGCCGCGAGTTTGATATTAAACAAACTCGCCACGATGTAGAATTAATGTTCTATTCAAATCATGTCGTGAGAAGTACATTTTGTCTGGATAACACTGTCATTTTCATTAATTAGACTGAGCAACTATATTTGCCTACAATCCTCAAAGACGATCTATATAACACAGTTGCGCGGCAAGTTTCGTGTAACAATTGTAATTACACTAGGCCTAGACACTTCTCTTTTTCCTGTTTTAATCTCATGCATTTCAGTTGAAAACGCGCTCTCATGCAAACGAATGATATGGAGTTGGGACTGTTCTATCAGATCTCGGGGCGCACGGTCCGGAAGCTGTTCCAATCGTTTTTGATGTATACGTAACGATTTTAACCCAGCTGCACTTAGAGTTCTCAGGGCGGCTAATTATGCTGGATTGTACATTTCCCTCTTAGCAGTATTATTAACATGATCAAACACTTGCAGCTTACAGTTTTGGAACTGAACGTCCCTGACGCACAGCTTGTGATATTCGTGGCAGGTTTCCTCATGAGCAGGTTGTGCGGTTGCTACCGAGAAACAAATGAAAAGAATTGCTGTGTCACAATTATCAGTTTAGTGTGAACGAAATTACGGCTAAATTACAGCAGTCCTTTCACTTTACGCACGAAAGGTGTGATCAAAAGAAACGTGCAAATCTAGGGAGTATTCCAAAGAAATAAATGGGCTTACATAAACCATGGAGAAATGTAAACAATAATAAAAAGTTCTTGACTAATACCGCTTTTAAAAGGCCAAAATTCACCTTTGAATTGGCATCCGACGAACAAAGTGATCCAAAGCCAGACTAGAAGTGCGTTAGATTTTAAGGCCATTCTAGGTTTCATTTCCCAGTCTCTCGTCTCTCACTATCTTGCCATTCTTTCTTCGTTCTAAAAGAAGTCTTGTGACGAATCTGGCACATGTAAACGAGAAGAACGGCTGAGGTTTGCGCTAAATCTGTCGTCTCCCGTCTACGATCGTGCGGCGATCTAGTTTCAGTCGACTGTTAGCCCCGCGTCACGTAAGCACGTGTCAATATTAGTTGAAATTTATAATACAAAAATTCTCATGTTTGGATCTCTGTCTAGATAAACAAAAAAATAAGAACGTTTAGAACCAAAATCAGTTGAGAATTCGGCGCAGATTCTAAGAGTTCGCTTGCACCACAGTTATTGCTAACACCTGATAAAATGTAATTTTCGAGAATTGCATTGTTCTGAGGTTACTGCACGTCCTTCATTGGGCATTTGGTAGCTCAAGGCAAAAAGCGTAAATGACGTTAATCTCTTCTGAAAGGAACCGCTTGAGAGGAAATTATTTTACGACGCACCAAGAGGATTTTGCAGTCTTTAATGAACTATTTTGTTTTCTCAGCTTTCGGAGCACAGGCGCTTGAGTTCTCACGGCTGGAAAACGCAGAAACGCAAACGAGATGAAATTTGAAATAAATTGTTGATAGCAACGCAGCGTGCTGCGTGAACCTCACGGGCAAATATTGTTAATGGCCAATTAGTGAAGCTTGACAAAGTTTCCTTTTCACTTTTTCTTATGAGCAAAGCAAAATCATGGTTTAAGTTATTGGGGATTCAAGCACGCCAAAGAAGGCAATGTGCAGAACGACATTTCAGTTCCAGGGAGAGGGAGCAGGTGACACGCACGCCATTTTGTTAATAGGCGATTACCATGGCAAGGCGTGCGTAAATGGAACTCGTGAATGCCAAGATTGATTGAAGTGGTTTTAGAAGTGCTTTTTAGATTTGTTTTGTTCGTTACTGCGCGTATAAATTGACTTTCACTATTCTAAAATACCAGATTGTGTGTGTGTATGTCTCAGAAATGCGTTCAGAGGTGTTCACGGTGAAGGAGTTCTTAATTTCCCAAGTTGACAGTCGGTGAACGCGCGAAAGTCGGTTGTTTTAGAATTTTTGAAGAGGTTATTTGCAATTTGCGCTAATATTCCAAATGTTTTATTTTTCTCTTTCAATTAGTTAATGTTTTGGGTGTTGCGTCTGCTGGCTCAACTTCCAGCTGGGATTGAAGATGATTTAAACTAGGAAACCTAGACCATTAGACAGACCATCATGTAGATTTTGAAGTTAATACTTGGTTGTCTTGGGTGTAACGAGAGATAAGAAAAAATTCTTTTGTTTTTAGGACTTACTGATTATCGATGATTTTTTAAAATGTTTTTTCCTTTCCATTGCAAAGTGTGTGTGTTTAGTCTTTCTTTTGTAAATGGGGCTTCATATTGTGTAAATAAAACTAAGAAAATACCCTTTTAAAGGGTTATTATCGTTTTGTGTGGTGGGTGTTCTCCAAGCCATAAAAAGCTTTAGATTCTGTGATGGAAAAAACTTTAAAATAAAAAAATGAAACCTGTGCTTCTGAGATTAGTTACTGATTTCTTGGAACTAATCAGGGTCGATAAAATACGGTCAGTAAATTTACATGCATACTTGATACGTGACGGTCTCCTTAGTTTCATACTTTTTTTGTTTGTTTGTTTGGTTTTTGTTTTTATTGAGATTTTAATTATTCTGGTACATTTACAATTACCTCAAGACTGCAGGTAATACAATACACCGCTTCAGGATTTCTGAATACATACGCTTGATAAAGGGCACAGTTTTAGTCAGTCGCCATAAAAGATTTCCAGTGCTTCAATTTTTTCCAGGTTTACACGATTTCATAATCCCTAAAGTTTAGATCCGTCTATGTAGCTTGCAGATAACAAGGGTTGAGTCCAAACTTGGTCAGATGTTTTTTTTCGAACGCTCTAAAAGAGTTGCCAGTGATGGAGCTGAAATGAAGGTGATAAATTGAAAACAGTATAAATTCTTATTACTCAATATTGACTGAAAGCGTTAATCTGTGACCCCAACAGCCTGAAAGCTTGACGGTAAAATGCAATTACATAATTGGATCGCTGAGTAACACCTCCTCAAGGCACGGGATATTGTGAGGTCACTGTGACAAAAGTTTCCTTTGGCAAAAATATGATATCCTATATCAAATTTTATCCTGTAAGAAAAATCGTAATTTTGGGGGTGGCAAAAGATTGTCAAGCAGGTGTATTGCTGATGGAAAAAAATCTCAAGATACTCCGTAAAAAGATTCGATTCAATAGCTCATGCCCTTGTTGTCACTCTGCTAAACAAGTCTACTGAACTAACCTTCAGTTCCTAAAGGGAATTTTGAAATCGGCCACGAGTGCTTCCTTCATTTGACGCGTTGGAATTTCTATTGGACTACTTGTTTTCTCTAGTGGCTTCTTTGCTTTGGCATTTAGAGACTCCACATAAACAGGAAAAATAAACGTTACAAAATGGCTTATTTTGTCACTGTGAGACTCTTTTATTTCACTAGCGGATGGCTTGTCTTTCCGACAGACAACTGGGAGAAAGCGTGACATTTGTCATAAACCCCTTGAAAACAAAACCTCCTATGAGAAAAAAAATTGTGAAATTGGAGTGGTACGATTTGAGTGAATTAACATTGTACTTATGATTGGCGAATTTCCATGATACGGCATGATGGCCTGATCATTCGCCAACCAATACGGAGCAAGTGTTAGTCGGTGATTTGTCTTAATTTAATACTTCGGTTTTGGTTGCCTCTGGCAAAAATTATGAGTTGTTTACCAATGAACTGTCTTCAGTAAGCTGAAAAAAGAGCTGTGAGAAGAATAGTTGGTCACATTTTAAGGGATTAATAATATTCCTCTTGTTTATTTTATGAGTTAAAAATACCGGGTTGGTTTGAGGGAGACACTTGCCCACGCTATTTTTAGTCTACCTCTAGGCGAGGAAGCTTTTTCACTCGTAGATATTTCATTTCTTCCACGAAAGCGGAGGATCAATGTTGTTGACACCTTTGAATTATGTTGAATTGCTTTCCGAGCTCATTTTGCGGGTTATTCCCATTAGAGACGGTTCTCGGTTTTCTTTTAAAATCTAAATATAACTCCTTCATCGTTGTTCATCCACTCAGAAATTAACACCACAATAGATTTGCCAGCTCGGATAAGTTATTTCAATTTGATGTAAACACTTGAGGCAGGTCAAAGGCCACGGTTTACGTGCAGCTTGGTGAGGCTTGTAACACGAAAGGGAACAAACTATGCCAATAGTTTACGTTCAGATCACTTTGAATGAATTAGGCATATCTTTGAGGATGCACAGTTTTAAAAGGAAAAGAAATCTGCGAAACATCTAGTAGAGTTACTAATTTCATGCCAAGAAACCTCGCCTTGCCTGGTTTGCTCACGCATTCCTATGAGCAAAACGTGTTTGTGACCGTGTTGACGGATTTGGGCAGTCGCTAACCAATCATCTTTGCTCACCATCTGATTCAGGGTCCCAAGGTGGCCACGATGAACCAACAGGTGTAACACGTTGTGTCCATCATGTTTATTAGTCACTTCAAAATTATTATGTAGATTTCTACTGATCAATTCAAACTAAAATTGGTGTGCTTCGATTTCCTGAAAATTTTTGTTATTATTGTTATTTTTTATTTATTTATTTATTTATTTTTATTTTACAACATGATACTTGCATTAACTACATTAAGGTTCCTTTCACCGGACTCTCTACATACATTGCGTTACACTACTTACTTACAGTATTCTTAAGATACAATAAATATATTTGCTACTTACACTGTTCTACTTACACTACGTACAATGTGATAATGCACACACCTATTTAGACTCACTAAGAGGCACATCATTTACACACAAAAAAAAGAGAAACTTATCCACAAAAAATTAATAGCTACGAAAGACAAAAAGGCTAAATTGTGAGTGGGATAGATAGGAGTAAGAACTTGAAAAAAAGAAACAAAAACAAAAACAAAAGTACAGCGTTTAGCAAAAATTGGTTTTCAGAGGCACGCAAACTATATAGCAATTATAGTGTATGAAGTATTTTGTCCCACGTCTGTTGAAATTTATTATGTGAATCAGTCACGATAGATATTTGTTTTTTAACCCATTTTAACTTTATAAGGGGGTTTCTCTGCTGAATTGTACGTCAGTTTCTGTAAGATTACAGCAACTGGCCAAAGAGACTTGAACACTCACGCCCCAATAACTCTGATCTTGCGCTTGAAGGGTATTAAAAGAATCAAGTATTATTAAGCACTACCCTAGACCCGCATGTGACATTTAAGATAATTGTTTGTTTGTTTGTTTTGGGGGGGTGGGGGTAGTTTGATATGAAAATGCTTCTTGGCTGGAATTATTTTATGATTAAATTACCTGATTGATTTAACAAAAAGACACTTGCCCATCCTAGTTTACCCCTAGGAGGTGAATGCTTGTCTGAGACCGTCGCAAAAAACAAGGGTATTGTTCAAGGTTATTTCTTTTAGCTCAGATGCAATTACGAATTAACTGCTGCCTAGGAGACTGGGAGGCCGGGAAATGGGCGGCCTTTCTGATCAGCGGAACTAAGAAAATCACAAATAATCCACGTTTTAATCAATTCTTGAATTATTTCTTAGAAGTTATTTGGTAATACGTACTCACTTGGAAATGCAAAATTTGTGTCTTCTCACCTAATCCGAAACTAACAATGATAACAAATGACAGTTGAGGCCGTCAATTGCAAAGACCACCTATCTTTTGCGCGTCCACTCTTTTGCTCATTCCAATATCCGGCACCCTCGCACAGGTTACGTGGCCGGCTCAGAGCCGTTGCTATGGTACTGATTTTCATGATGGTGTATGAATGGAAGTGCATCAATATCTTGATCTTTTGTCGCGACAGGATCTTGCCAACCATCACCATCATATAGCAGGCGAGTGATGAGTGCCACATACAGCGGGATCGTTTTGGTAACGCTAGTAAGAAGAGTGACTCTTTCGCACTTCCTTCTTAAAGCGCTCAAATGAGCTGCTGTAACTGCCCTCAAAGATATTTGGTGATGTGATCTAAACCACATTTTAATCCCCGTTACTGATAATTGCATAATTACAATACCCCGCAGCAACCTCGGACAGATTTGTTAAATATCGAGACTACCTCTCACCCTCTCGTGACTCAAGTTTCTACTGGACTCGTGCAAATTGGAAGATTTTCTACGCTAATTGAGGCGAATTCATTGCGATTGTATATGTAATCGCATGGGCCCAAGGGCAGTTATGACTTAATTTCAGTGCGTATAGTCAAAGTTGTTCCAAAATTGCCCAAGTCGCAAAACCAACTGAAGATGTGGTTTTCAGTGCTAGAGAATTGAAGGGAAGGGAACTTTTCACTATTTCAATCCCAGTACTTGCCTTTGCGTCGTCGCGAATACTCAAGTATTGACTCTTCAGTTTTATTGATACCGTCAATGAAGAAAGAGAAAAGAAATAGATTAAAATGAAACAAAGGGAATAGAAAAAAATACAGAGAAAATTGGATTATTTCTTTAATAAAAGTAATCATTCATAGAATGTAGATACATCTGTATGTTGAAACATCCCCATTCATCTGAGAATGCTTCTGTTACTTTTATACACAACTATTGGTCTTGTTTTTGAAAAGAAGAAAACAAGATTTGTTCTGCTCATCTTTCTGGCGGAACTAACTGAAAGACGAATACGAATATACTCGATTAAATTGAGTGATTTTTGTTTTGATACTAACAAATTTTAAAATTATTTTTCACGAGTTGATGGTTCATCAAGAGAATATTATCTGTAGAATTCCTCTTGAGTTCAAGAACTGCATAGAAGATTTTTCTCACTCGCTAAAGTCGGCACAGTTTTATCATTTCTGAAAATCTGTAAGCCAATCTCTTACTCTTAACCCTTTAATCCTTAAGAGTGACCAGCATTTAATTTCTCCTTACAATAATAAGATTAAGAGCATAAAGGAAATGATCGCCAACCTAAGAAGCTTTGATCTTTAAATAAATTCTCCTTGTCAGTACCATAAGAAACTTATGGAGAAGAGTATGGAGAATATGGATACTGATGTTGGGGTGTAAAGGGCTAAGGCTGGACTCCTTCTTCTGTCAATAGCGTAACTTTCTTTGAGGTAACGCACAGAGGAAGTAACTGACAATGTTCATTAGTTAGAAAAACTTCTACTTTGTTGTCTACTGAAGGTGGCTGAATATAGGATATTTCCTGAGAAAAATTTTTTGACCACTCATTGGAGTCCAGGGCACGAAGTTTGTTCAGTAGGCAAGTTTCTTTTCACCCACCAAAGAACGGGGGGTTTCGAGTTGAATGAACAATTTCACCTCCAAATCGTTTCAAGAACCACAAAATTGTGCCATTCTCTATGAAACGCAGGACTGTTCCTGAGAGTAACTTGGATGTCGAAACGTTGTTTTTCCCCAGAACATGTTACCTGTACAAACAGGATGTTAATTTAATTATTTGATGTGGTTTTATGTCTCAAGCGCGTTTTTCAACGGAGATAAAGTAACCTTGCAGCACTTTAGTGGATTATAAGATGATAAATTCCGGGCCTTAAAAATTATTTCTCTAGCCAGCATTTTCTCCACGCTAACCAGGTGTTTTCGCGTTCTCATCCACGGCTTGCTTGAAACAACTTCGTGATAGCCCGTATTGTGATATTATGGTTTCTGGGTCCTGATTTTGTCTCTTTGTCCGCTTCCTTTTTCCTTTTACCGCCATAACTAACTTTAATATTTGTATTATACCCTTCTGGTTAATCCTCTGGCGTGGAAATTTAGTTGCAACCGCCATTAAAGAGCGAGATGTAATAACAATCTAGTATATGAAAGGGTCGTTTACTGCTAGCATGTAGACTCTGGCATTATTCCAGTATTTTCATCAGAATCGTCCGTTATAGGTGTTTCCATGTCGTGAGCCAGATCGTCAATGGACTGAGCCAGTATTTGCAAATACTCCTGCAAAATTACAGAACCGTAGCGACAGTCAGCATAATACCAACGGTTCAATAACGATAACATAAAGAAACCTTTAATTAAATGTTTTCATGATGGAGCTGCTTAATTGTAATCAACTTCAAGTTGTAGGGATGGAACAAAGTTACATATACCTTTCCAGAGCATTGAATGCCCTCGTGTTGTAATTCCCCGCCTAGATTACATAGGTAACGGTCTTGAGTTACAGAGGGTCAATTTTAGTTTTAGGTGCATTCTTCCAAAGAGAATCACGTCCTTCAGGGGGCGTCTTGAATCAAAAATTGACAGGTTTGAAGATCGTTGTTGCATTCCCCCTCTCCACCCCCCTCAAAAAAAAATGTTCAGTAAAAGTACCTTTAGCCAAGCAACCACCCAATCACGTCGAAAGTGAGTAACCTCATACTTACTTTGCTCGTCATGCTTGATAACATCGCATCAAAGTGTTTTCTTAGATCTGTAAACGATTTTCGTTTGCAGGGGGTTTCATCCCAGCAATTCATCATAATATCATATCTGGAAAATCGATGTAAAATAAGAAAAAATTTATCATTTCAAGGTTATATTCCTCTAATGCACTCGCTGTCTTAACCTACAGTTTAACATGTAAGTTTGTGCTTCCTGTTAAAGGTTGCATTTCTATGATTTAACCTTACCAACGGTTGAACTTTTGCAAGATGTTCAACAGAAATTGGGGGTTGAAACTCCATTTTCATGAAGTGAAACATACCAAACCACCAACATGGTGAGGGGGAAAACTGCTAAATTGAAATGCTTGAAAAAATTCATAGATAAACGTCCATGACAGTATTGTCGTGATTCGAATCGCGAGGCCCTCGAATTTTTCACGGCTCCCTAACTGAAATTGCCCAAACTAAAAAAATTCAGTTCCAAAGATCACATGCTACTCTTCTTCCTCTTAATCTTTTAAGTAGATCGCTCGAGGAAAGTTGATAAGTATGGGATTTTCCTCTAATATTAGCCTTGAAATTGACTGAGCAGGAAACAAGTGTGCCTAAAGCGACATTGTCACATGAGTCCCCTTTCCGGTTTAATGTATGCCAATTCAATTACGTTGTCAACAATGATCAAGAGAACAGGAAACACTTAACTGTTTTTTCTTACAACTTCCCGAGTGGATTACAAGCGGCAGCTGTGAACACCACCAACAAACATGATCTTGGGTCATAGAGGACTTCCTGTGTCGTAGTCGTTACGACGTTCCCGATTCCTGTCTGTCAGAAGGACTGGAGATTGACCAAGAGATTGAGAGAGGGTGAACCCTGCCTCCGGATTGAGATCGAACGCAATATTTTGGTTTATTCTGCGAATATTTACGTTTTTCTTCGAATAACAATTTAACTGTAATTAAACTTACATATCTTCTGGACAATTTTGAGGCTGCTGCATCCGGTAGCCAGACTTCAATAGATCGAACAACTTTTCTATGGGTATTCCTGGATATGGAGAACCACCTGAAAAGAGAAATTTCCGGCTTAAGTTGTTGTCTTGTCTTAGACCATTTACCCACGTCTAGAAATTCAAAGGTGATATTGAAGTGTGCACTTTTTTAGTTAAGTGGTAAAACGATATACTTCTTTGCATAGAAATTAAAATTGGAAGTACACACGGTATCAACCATTTCTCGTTCATATCCTCACTCAAGATGTTAACTTAAAGATGGCCTTACCGAGGGTAAAAATCTCCCAGAGCAATATACCAAACGCCCAGACGTCACTTTGTGTTGTGTAAACTCGATCAAACAATGCCTCGATGGCGAGCCATTTTATTGGTAGCCGACCCTGCAAACAAAAGACATGTTCAGATACCAGAGTTATTACATGATTCGTTAAACAAATTCACAAAATCGCAGTTTGTAAAGATAACTGAACACTTACATCGGTAGTTTTCCGATAATACTCCGCATCTCTCACATTTCTTGCCAGACCAAAGTCAGCAACTTTCATGATGTAATCTTCTCCAACAAGAATGTTTCTGGCAGCAAGGTCTCGATGAACACACTACATTTATAGAGAATTCAAAATGTAATTAAAAACTTTTTTCGAAACTTTAAAAAAAGACTTGGACGTTAAGAAGAAGTAAAGGGGAAAACTGCTACTTCGACTGCGCTTACTAGTACTGTCATATAACCAAACCCAAACTGATCGCAACTGCCCATCAGAAAAATGAATTAAATCACAAGAAATTATCAGAACTTTAAGTTAATCAATGTTATGGGTCTTTAACGCGAAAAGGCTGGTTGTTTACAGTTGATAGTGCGAGCTTTCAAGACCTATAATAATATACCTATAATAATAAGTCAGTCGCAGACCCCTTGCAAGCCTCTCACCAGCTCGCGTTCCTTTCCCGCGGGCGATGAAACGCTCGTGTGAACCCTTTCACTTCCACAAGTGAGTAGGAAAGAATTTCTCCCTACATAACCAATACCATATCAAGCGGAAGTGTGATGAGAATAATGGAAAATACTTCAGGGGATTATTAGTTGATCCAATATCAAACTCTCCAAAAGAACAACATCACAACTATATGCAGACAGTAAGGAGAATTTGTAATGAAATCTTGGGAGTGAAAGAGTTAGAGCGCCAGTGATTAGGGCGACAAGCAGGCTATCTTTGGTCAGAAGGAGGTGTCTAGTAATAGATATTTTAAGATGTAAGGGCTAAATCTGGCCTTTAAGAAATGTCCAGGCAATGGAAGGTGCCCGTTACCGAAGGATCGGTTCTGCCAGTTTTCTCCGTTAAAACCCAGAATTGTTATTTTTTTCCTATGAAGTATCACTTAACGAGTTTTAAGAATTACAAACTCGAAAAAGTCAACTACTATTATGGATGGTTTAAGTATTCCATGGATAAACGAATATGAAAGCGATCTTCTCAGGAATGAACACTAAGCAGTAGTGAAAATAACTCCTGAAAAAAATTCAGGCCTGCACGGGATCTGACGCCATGACCTCTACAGTACCGGTGGAGTGCTCTGCCAACTGAGCTGTTAACATATATGATTTTCATATATTTACAGTCATTTATATGGATACAATTTGTTTCCGGATTTATTTATTATACCTTTCTTGTTCCCAAGTACTCCATTCCCCTCGCTATTTGGAAAGCATATGAGACGAAATCCCTCATAGTTAAGGAAGGACCAGAGTGACTAAGTGTGTGTTGTTGATACTCAGATGGTCTTCTTTCTCTCAGAAACTGTCGAAGATTCCCGTGTGGTGCAAACTCGACAACGACAAACAGAGGGCCTGAAACACATGTAAGTAAAGGTCTTAACCATTCTTTTAAAGACATAACATATGCAGTTGATGAATACCTGCTAGGGCTCGGTGTAGTGTTGCTGCGATACGAATGCATATTGATTCTGATACGAGATTCAGGGCGGTTATTGATTTTCATATAAGCATAATGAAGGGAAATTTTGTAATTTTTCTCTTTTTACTTGATGGACAATTGCCAAGGATTCTGTGCACTTTTCAAAACACATTGAGGTTGTTTAACTTTTGCAACGAATGAGAGGTTTAATTTTTGGAAAAATAGGAATGCCTTACCGTTTTGCGTGCAAGCACCTATCAAGTTGATAATGTTCTTGTGTCTTCCAATTTCCTTCATTGTATCCATTTCAGACAAAAGGTCTGCTAATTCGTTCTCAGTGGCGTCAGCTGTAAATTACAACATTTAGAGGCAAAAATATTATCGCTTTAGCTTTGGAAGTAACAAAAAGCTTGACGTTATTTGTTGCTAAATTGAGTGTTCCACTTACACGAAGAGCATGTTCATACGTTCTCATCTTATCTGCTTAGCACTTTGTTTAGTGTAAGTGCTGCATATTGATCTCAAGGAGAACTTAGTAGTTGATGAGAGTTTTTTTAATTCGCACCAACTTTTTGATGGAACATTCATCCATGTTGAAGGAAAGTTACATATCTGTACGCAAGTCGAAGTCAAGCATCATTTTCAAGAAGTGGACATTGATAGGCCAATTTTATGATTTCGGAGCTCAAGTTCTATTAGAGAGTATTGTTCATTCAACGTTTCCAGTAAAAAGGATTAATAAGCACTGACTTACCCTTGAGCATTTTGACTGCAACTGAGCATGTGGAAGGCAGGTCAGGTAAACCCACGGCATCAGCGCGCATGACCAAACCAAAAGCACCTTCACCAAGCTGTTCTCTTAACGTTATTTGAGATCTGTCGATTTCCCATTCTTCGTCGCAAGGCAACTCATAGAGCTCTGTAATGAAAGAGAGTTTAAGTGATGGTATTTCAATGAAATGGTTGTATTGAGGAATTGATATATAGTACCACCCATTAGTCTTTACTTTGAACACAATTCGTCATTAGACATTAATCTCGTTACACTTTTAAGTTATGTAAGGAATCTCCTTCTTAAGATATTAAAAGAAAGCCAGATGCTAACAGTTACAACATTTATATTTTCAATAACATGTACGGGTAATTTTGAGTACAGAGACTATTCAAAACCAAACGAAAAAAAAAATTATTTCAAATTCTTTCTGTAAAAACTTTTTATGAAATAGTCATGCAACACGAGAATTCTTTAACCCAACCCCTACCCCCTAAGTTTCCTCATGGTTCATCCCTCAATACATCGGATAAACGTTCCTTACCTTCAGCGATGTTAGAATCAATTCTAGACGAAACACCTGAAGAAAATCGAGACCTATAGCTTCCATTCCTGCATCTTATTAAAGGTGCTGTAGAAGTGGTTGATCCATTGGAACTAAATCTCCTCCTTGGAGCTGCATAATTTAACGTTCTAGTTATTCCATCGGTTTGATTGGGTGTGTTAGGTTCTGACGATAAAAGGTGTAACGACGCTCTTCTTGCCTCTATATTTTGTAGAGTTATTTCCTTTTGAGAATTTGAACCTTTAGGGAATTTCTCCTTTAGTCTCTTGCGATAACAGAAAACAAACACGACGATTACTATAATAGCTATTAAAAAGAAAACTGACAGAAGGATGACGATAATTAGGCCAGTTTGAGGTGGTTTTTCTTTTTTCGTGAGAAATGCTGTGATCTTCTCAGGTGAAGATGGTTGTTCTGTTGGTTTTGTGGCTTCCGTCTCTACGAAAGAAAAATCAAAACAATCTTCAGAATTTATTAAGCACGACCATAGTTATACTTACAAATAAAAAAAGTCAAGATCGCAGTAGTCTATCAGTTGTTGTGTTTCTTTGGGTAGTTAACTGTGTTACTTCTCGTGGTTATAACAATAACGTGTTTTCTAGATCACCAGGCTTATAGAAAGTTGAATTTCAATCACAGACGTGTGCACTATTGCAATCGATAGTATGTTACTAATAGAACACTTTCCGAATTAATTGCAGTACTTATGGAAATTATTAGTCAGAGATGATAATCTGGTAAGCTAAGGTGGCGGCCACGGACGAGGATAGACCTAATCAGCACGTCATCGCTCACAGGGCACACATGTAGCTCATGGGTCGCACAGAGAGAGATTCCAACAGCCACATGGGATATGTTGCTGGGGTGGTTACTGGCTACCCGCATAAGCGACAGTGGTAATGACGGCTGTTATTCTAAGGCACGTTGCAGTTCTTAACCATTTAACTCCTAAGAGTGGCTAAGAAGTGATCCTTCTAACCATATCATTACATTGCCAAGCAAAAGGTGATTGGAAAAAGGGGATATTGTTTGATTTAAGACCACATGTTTAGAACTACAATTGAAAGAAATGTGTGGCAAAACGGTTTGGAGAATTTGTAGT